TTTTTATCAGGAACGGGTGCTGGATTTTGTCCAATGTCTTCCCGGCAGCAATTGATTTGATCATGTAACTCTTTACTTTTGTTTTACTTGTATGATGGGTTATATTGACTGTTTTTCTAATGTTGAACTATCCTTTTATACCTGGTATGAATTCCATTTGACCATTTTGTATATATATATATATACAAATCCTGGCCAGTAAAATCCAACAAAATATTATATACATAAATGGAATATATATAATATATTGTTAGATTTTATTGGCCAGGATTTTGTTGAGATTTTTTGCATCTATGATTTTGGTCTATAATTTTCTGTTCTGGGAAGGTCTAGCTTTATTTATTTGTTTATTTTAAAACACAATTTTGTTGACTTTGCTTGGCTTTGGTATCAGGGTTTTACTTGCTTCATGAGATGGATTCTGGACTTTGCCATCCCTTTCTATGTTCTGGAGTGGTTTACTGAGTAGACTTAGTGTCAACTCTTCTTTGACTATCTGGTAGATTTCCTTGATGAAGTCATTTGGTCCTGGGATTTTGTTGTTGTTTTTGTGAGTTTTTTTGGGACCTAATGAATTTATTCTTTTGTTATGGGTATGTTGAAGTTTACTACACAAGTCTATGTTAGAGTAAGTCAGTAGTGTGTTTCTAGAAATATGTTCTGTGTTGTTTTTTCTTCTTCAAATTTTGGGAAGTGCAGGCTTTATTGTGTTATCTTTTTATTTCAGTAGGCTCAAAGTGATGTTGCTCATTTTTTCTTATTCATGATATTTGCATATTCTTTTTGCTTTCCTTTGTTAATTTGTCAGTGGTTTGTCAATTAAAAAAAAATCTTTCAAAGAGCCAACTTCTTGTCCTGTTGATTCTTTTTATCATTTAGAATATTTATCTGCTCTAATATCTATTATTCCTTTCTTCTTGTGACTGCAGATTCATTCTGTTGCTCTTGTTCTAATTGATGAAGATGCTGGGATAAGGTGTTAATTTTGGTTCTTCTTTTTGATGTATGCATTTAATGCTATCAATTGTCCTATGAGTACTGCTTTTGCTGGTAACCCAAATGTTTTGGTATGTTGTATTTTCATTCTTGTTTGTTTCTAGGAATTTAAAAATGACACTGCTTATTTCTTCAATTACCAGTAGTTTTTAACCAGGGTGTTGCTCGATCTCCATGTTTTTGATTTTTCCTCCTTAATCTTCCTATTGTTGACTTCTAGTTTTATAGTGTGTGATCTGAGAAGATGGTTTGTAATATCTCAATGTTTAAAATGTTATTATACTTTCTTTGAGGCCTAACTCATGGGGTATATTTCATATGTGTTTGGAAAGAGTGTAGTGTATATTATGCTCTTGGGTAGAATGTTCTATATAAGACTAAGGTCAAGTTGATTAATTGTGTTGTTAGTTCTGTGCTTTTGTTGAATTTCTTTCTAGTTGCCCTGTCCTTCCTCAAGAGTGGTGTATTGAAGTCTCCTATTATCGTAGTACTATCAATTTCTCTCTTCGGTGTTGTAAAGGTTTGATTAACATATTTTGAAAGACAAGGAAAAACTTTTGAGAGCAGCATGGGAAAATAGAACTTACTTACAAAGAAGAATCAATGAAACTAAGCTTGGGTTTTTCAGTAGGAGTCCTGCAGGAAAGAAGGCAATAAATGGAATGACGTATATAGCTTTAGACCTGTAATGGTAGATCTGTGGGCAACTCAAGATATTTTCCAAGTTCTTTAAACATGTGATACTCAATCTTTACTCTCGATACCCACTGGAGATCTTGTTAGAGCTTGGTTCTGGCCATTGCTAGAGTAGACATAAGAGACCTGGTGGTTCAGTGGGTTAAGCACTGAACTGCTAACTGCAAGGTCAGCTGTTCAAACTCACCAGCCACTCCATGGGAGAAAGATAAGGCAGTCTGTATCTCTAAAGATTCAGCTCAGAAAACAATAGAGCAGTTCTACTCTGTCTTACAGGGTGGGTATGAGTCTGAATTGGCTGCACTGCGGTGGTGGTGGTGGGTAGGATGGGAGTAGAGTAGGCATATTCTAGGGCATAGTCCTGACTCTTAAGTGGAGGTTTTCTGATATCTTGACTGTACCATCAGGATCTTACAAGGATGTTAAGAAAGCCTCGCCATCCTCACTGGGCTGGGCTTCAATATCCTCCAGCACTACTCAACCTCTCTGTACAACTTTCATCTATGTGGCATCCATTTTCTGATCAGCTTTATACAGCCGACCTTGGGTGAGCATGGCCCCATTCTCATTTAAGGACTTGTGGGGACTTCTGCCCAAAGACTTCTGGGTCTCCACCACCACAGCACTCTTCCTCCCTTTCTCCTGTGCTCCGTCCAACAAATTCTAACTGCTTCAGTTTTCTAAAGCTCTGATATCTTTATCCTCAGCTCAGAGAAACTGCCACACTCTTCTTGGTCTCCAGCTCACAGCACTAAGGTCAGGGAAATTATCCCTCAGCATAGAGTCAGTGTGATCACAGGGCTCACCTTGTGAATTTCACTTCTCATTGGGGAGTTGTAAGTTTTCTGTTGTCCTTACACCTGAAAATGTTTGTTACCATTTGTCCAGTTTTCTGGTTGTTTAAAGCAGGATGTCTAGCCCAGAATCAGTAACTTCATAATATTTGGAAGTGGGAATATATTTTATTAGATGATTTGACAACTACTCAAGGGCTTCATCAGTTTTCTGAAGGGAATCCTGCAATCTTAATATTTTCTTCTGTTGCTAGCTGGCATGAGTTTGCTAGAGGATCATTCGAAAAAGGCTTTGTATGTGATTTGAGCAGCTTTCTGACATCATTCTTATTGGTTTCATAAGATTCCTTATCGTTGACAAGATTTGATGCTTCCGGTTGCATGTATTACATTTGCATGCCATTATGTGGGATGTTTATAACACTGTGCACTCACCATGAGATTAAGATGTAAAGACCTTGGCCCTGTTGCAGGGATACACACATTTGTGTTCATTGGGGCTGGAAGGCTCCTGGTTTTATTCTCCTAATTAATTAATCATGTAGCCCTGGTGGTATAGAGGTTACATGTTGGGCTTCAATCCACATGGTCAGCAGTTCAAAACCAGCAGTAGTTCCAGAGGAACCCTGGGCTTTCCACTTCCGTCAACAGTTAAAACCTTGGAAGCCCACAGTGGGTTGCTATGAGTCAACATTGACTTGACGGCAGTGAGAATTAATAAGTCAGTAACTATTTCCTGAAAATTTTTGCCTTCCTACGCAACTTCATAACAGCTTGCATTCCAGTAATAGCTTTTCCTCAATATTAATAAATACCAAATTGTCAAATCATTCTGATACAGACCTTTCCCCACCCACATAGTGCAGGTAATGGGGAGGGGGTGAGGAGATGCGTGTAAGACAGGCTGGGGAGGGAACATGGTCAGTAACGAAGCAAGGGAGTGCAATTGAGGGGGTTTTGACATCGGGACTTGTGGGAAGTGGGTACCGGGAACCTCATACCTCATCAAAGAACCTGGAGCTAGGGCTGGACCAAAGGATACCTAAGTCTAGGTGTCCTCATCACCCAGGCAGCCAGTAGATGGTATCCAGGTGGGCACCTGGCCCGTCTCCCCATCGAGCCTTCCTGTCTCTATGACGTCCAACAATTGGTGTCCAATGTCAAACTGAGTTTGGAGTCAGGCCAATGTTAAAGCTTTGGCCTACTGAAGATCTGCAGACCAGACAGAAATACCAGGACACGGAGAGTTTAGCTGGGGGTAGTTACCATGGTCTAGTCTCTGGCATTCTTGACACCTGTGCCATGTGGCCAATGTTGGAGCCCAGTGGAGGGGACTGGATTGCAACCCGAAGCTGAGCAGTGAAAGCCAGTTTTCCAGAGGCAGCAGACCCAAGATGGCCAACCAGCGGTCTTGTCTGCCCAGGGTTCTAGGAAATGGAAAGAGAGTTCTTCTTGGCTGTTGTTTCTCGGAGGCCGCCAAGGAGCTGGAGGTGGTGGGGAGGACGACAACTGTTTCATCCTCAAGGAGCTTCTTGGGATTCAAGGTCACATCTGAGGCTCCCACTCAAGCTCAGTAGCACATGGTCCCGTTGGTACCGTTCCCAGTCTGCTATGCCGTGCGTGGTTTTTGGGCCCCGATCCCGGTTCTTTGGCTGGTGTTCATCACCCCCGATTTGACTCAGGAACTACTCCTGGGCAGACCCTAGTGTTGCTCTGTGGAGACCTGCTCTCCATCCCATTTGGGCAGAAAGGAAATGGACGGGAGAGAGATAAGCGATGGACTCTTGAGTGAGGTGGGGTCAGACAGAGAAGCTTGAGCATGCCAGAGTGGCTGAGGCTCCTCCAGCAGGGAGAGAAAGAAGAAACCGCATGGACGCTGGCGCCTCAAAAAGCACCCAACCTGCCCGGGCCTCCTTTAACCTTGGGCTGTGTGAGGCTGATAAGTACATCTTTGTTTTACAGCATCGATGGTCATAATGATGTTTCATCCTTCAGTTTCAGGGAGAAATTGGAAGAACTTTGCCTTGGTCCCCCTCTTGAGAGATGCAAGTACTCGAGAAAGGCCTGCCGTCCAGCCGGAGGAGGTTCACCTGAGGCACTTCGCTGGGTCCCTCAAGCCAGAAGATGCTGAGGTCTCCAGGGATTCTGTTGTTTTCAGGCAGAAGTGAGGAGCGCCACACAGGGTGCTCTCAAGGCTGGGCCTTAGGATGGCCACTGTTGCTGGGGGGCTTGTCCGGGAACTTCAGCGTTCTGGTGTCGGCCTGAGCCAGTCTGCACCTGCCCAGGCTCTGAGGGTGGAGGAGCGAGGCTGAGGCTTTATAGTCCTCTCTCTTTGGAAAGTGGTATAGCTGTGCCTCCAATCTCCCAACAGGAAATGAGTTTGTCTTCAAGTTTCTACTGACTTTATTAAACAGGGTGGATGACCCATCTCTACTTTGACATGTTTTCTTTGGCTTTAGATCGCTGGGAGTAAAAGCAAACAAAACCCAGGAAGACACTTTTAAAGCCAAATGCTTCCTTTGATGTAAAACCAGAAAGTTCCTCTCTCTGTATTGCACTTAATAAAATCACTGGCCAGAGTGGTCCTGGGTGATGTCATCGCCTACCTCCCAGAGGTGGTGGGGGAGAAAGGTGGTTCCATGCCCAGCATGGCCACAGTTTATTTCCCCCCAGAGTGACGTCATCCTTCTATGTGATGCCTAATAGCGCCACAAAGATGAACTCCATTGCTATTCAAATAAAAGTACAGAACTGCACTCCAACTCTACAATGCCAAGAATTGTCCAATGAGCATCCATTTGTAACAACCACAGTCCTGCTACTTGGCAGAATTCCTGCCCCCATTTGTCCTGTCATATATAGTGTGTGAACTTTGTAGCAGGCATTGAGCTAGTGTAGCCATTGGCTTTGTGCGGTCTCTGTGTGTGCATAGTTGTACATATGTGTTTGTGTGTGCGTGTGTGCCTTCCCCCTGACCCTGTGGCCGGGAGCCTCTGGTCACTATTTAGTTGTTACCCCTGACTGAGGGCAACCCCTCACATATGCACCTACTGTAGTAAGGACACTATGGCCCGCAGGCCAAATCCAACCTATCCCCTGTATTTGTAAATAAACTTTTATTGGAACACAGCTACTCTCATTTGTTGATGTATTGTCTGCCGTTGCTTTCACCCTACAATGGGAGAGTTGTGTAACTTCAGCAGGGTACAAATGCCCGTCGAAGGCTAAGATGCTATTTCACCCTTTACAGAAAAAATTTCTGACTCCTACTTTATAGACTAGAGCATAAGAAACCAATGATCAAAGTGAGCGATCCGTCCCAGACATTGGCTAGAGAGGGTTCATGTTTGGGGAGGTTGGCATGAGCTGGATAGGTATGCAATGATAGTGGTAGAATGCTAACTGCAAGGTTGGTGGCTCAAACCCACCAGCAGCTCTGCAGAAGAAAAATGAGGCCGAAGGGTTGCTATGAGTCAGAATTTTCTGGATGGCAGTGGGTTTGGGGGTTTGGAACAGATGAGATGACATTAGCCAAGGCTGTGCTTTTGGACCTGCTGTGAGAGGTATACCTGGAGGAAACATCTAGATGCTCCTCCTCCAAATCGGAGGCCCCACAGAGGAGTCTGTGGACTGGTTGATGAGGTGCTCATGTGTAAAGTGAGCCATGGCCACCCTTTGAGGAGCAATACTAACTACCAAAATGTAGACTATTTACAGAAAGTATTGGATGTTTATTGTCACCTTTAGGCGGGGTTCTCTGTCTTAGGCTGGGTTCTCTAGCAAAGCAAAAGCAGTGTAGCCCATGTATGCATGTAGGTATGCACAGAGGTGCATCTCCAGGAATGGCTCACACAGTGGTGGAGGCTGGCACGTTCCATGTCCATGGGTCAAATGTGAGGCTGGAGGCTTCTCCTGATTTATGGAAGCGCAGAGGCGGATGAGCCTAATTAGACCAGCAGGCCAGATGACAGGTTTTAGGATGCAGAGGTTGGGGAATCCAAGGTCAGCACGCAAGATTTCAGGCTATTGATGACAAGCCAGCTATGGGGCGCAGATCCAGCAAACATCAAAGCAAGCTTGCCCGAGCATCCACATATGTAGGAAGCAGGACACCCCCCAAGTAAACTCCCTTTTAATTGATTAGCTGTTCACAGTTGATCTTATCAGGGGGAATGGCTACATCTTAACTGCCACACCAGTTAGAATCCTGGCTCAGTTAAGTTGACACACCACCTTAACTATCACATCCTCATACCCGCCTGATGAGAGAGCTGTCATTAGCTCCTTTTATAGATAAGAGAAACTGGGGCCCAGACAGTTAGGTTACACACCCAGGAAACAGTCCTGCCTGGATCCGACACCAGGCAAAAACCCTGTTCTTTTTCTTGTAATAGTTTTATTGGCACACACTTCACATATTATGCAGTGTAATCATTCATTCGCATGAAGATTTGTGCAATTATCATCACAATCAATTTCAGAGCATTTTCCCCCTCATACTCGTTGTTAGCTCCTCATTTCCCCCATCCTCCTCTTCCATTCTACTAGGCAATTATCAATCCATTTACTTTATAGATTGTCTTTATAGATCTACCCATCCTGGATTTCAGATACAGAAAATCAATAGAGAAAGCAAGCAAGCAAAAAAAACAAAACAAAACCCCAAAAGCACCCCCCAAATGACTAGACAAAACAAATAAAAACCTAAATAAAAAAAGAAAAAGAAAGCAGAAAAATATTAAAAATGGAAAAAACTTTAAAATACACCAAAAGGAAAAAAGTGTAGCTGATACCAAGGGCTCAATAGAAAGGAAATGTCTAGAAAATAATGATGGCCACATATGTACAAATATGCTTGACACAATTGATATGTGGATTGTTAGAATAGCTATAAGATCCCCCCAGTAAAATGATCTTTTAATAAAAATAAAATGGACCAAATAGACAATCACATGATAAGGCATTGCATTTTAACTTAACTACATCTGCCATGATTGATTTTACCATGGACCCTGCCTGGTGGCAAGACTCATATCCCTCAACTATGGTCAGAAAGGATTTATTGGAGACTTAGTCCATGTGGGAACTCAGCAAATGGATGTTGGGCTTCCATGGTCAGTTATGACCTTCTGCAAACCAGGCATTCAGAAAGTAAGCTCTGATACCATTCTCTCCTTTGGATTTGGATATTATTATTTACAACCCTTGGATCACATAGGCTAGTGTGGTTCTTTCATGTGGACTTGGTTGATACCTCACTTAGATGGCTGCTTGTTTGAAGACAAGCTTTTAAGACTCCAGATGCTATTCTTTCTGCTAGCCAGGTCCTGTCTGGCTTCTTCACTACGCTTTGCTATAGCACCCACATCTCCAGTGATGTCTTCATGAGGGCGAGCAACCAGCAGTGCCATGTCATAAGAACTCACTTCTTCTTGACGCAATCACTGAAGACAAAGCGGGTACATAAGAAAATGTGGTGAAGAAAGCTGATGGTGCCCAGTTATCAAAAGATTAGCAACTGGGGTCTTAATGGCTTGAAGATAAACAAGAGGCCATCTGGCTGAGAAGTAACAAAGTCCTCATGGAAGAAGCACACCAGCCTGTGTGATCATGAGGCGTTGATAGGATCAGGTATCAGGCATCAAAGAATGAAAAATTTTATCATTGTGAATGAGGGGGAGTGCAGAATGGAGACCCAAAGCCCATCTGTAGGCAACTGGGCATCCCCTTACAGGGAGAAGATGAGTCAGTCAGGGTACAGTATAGCACTGATGAAACATACAACTTTCCTCTAGTTCTTTAATGCTCCCCCCTCCTGCCCACTATCATGATCCAAATTCTACCTTACAAATCTGGCTAGACTAGATCATGTACACTGGTACAGATAAGAGCTGGAAATAGGGAATCCAGAACAGATAAACCCCTTAGGACCAAGAATGAGATTAGCGATACCAGGAAGGGAAGGTGGGGGAGAAATGGGGAACCGATTCCAATGATCTACATATAACCCCCTCCCTGGGGGACAAACAACAGAAAAGTGGGTGAAGGGAGACATTGGACAGTGTAAGACATGAGAAAAAAAAGACATGAAAAAATTATAAATTATCAAGGGTTTATGAGGGAGGGATGGTAGGGGAGGGAGGGAAAAAATGAGCTGATACCAAGGCCTCAGATAGAAAGAAAATATTTTGAAAATAATGATGGTAACAAATGTACAAATCTGTTTGACACAATGGATGTATGTATGGATTGTGATAAGAATTGTACAAATTGTACAAATCCCCAATAAAATGGTTAAAAAGTTATGGATTAAAATATCTATGGTTTATATATGTCTCTGTTTCACTATAGCATTATCTTTATAATTTTATGATAAAACTCACTTCCAACGAGCTGATGCTGACTCAGTGGCAGGGTAGAATTGTCCCTGTGGGTTTCCATGACTGTAACTCTTTATGGGAGTAGAAAGCCCTATTTTCCTCCTGAGGAGTGGCTGGTGCTTTTGAACTGCTGACCTTATGACTTATGAATAGCAGCCCAATGCCTAACCACTTACACCATCAGGGCTCTGATCATTTTATGATAGAGAATGCTATAAATCATCCTCCTTGGGGCCTAAGGGAATTCTATTGATAGTGTCATGACTTTAGCCAATGGTATAGGATAGAACACATCGAGAAGTGGAAATTATACAGGTATAGGTTGGCTTCAAACCATGATACATGAATTGTTGGCTTGCACAGATTAAACTCTTATGTGAGTGGACACTATTGACACAGACAATGGGGGTTACTGATAGGGCAAAACAAAAGCCCAGTTCTCAACTGCTGGCCAATCTGCCTAGAAGAGGCTAGGCAGGGCATGTCCCTGGGTCAGAGGGAGATGTGAAGACTTCTCAATCCCTATTTTTGACCAGGTGACATGGAGCCCTCTGCTCCCCTGCCATGATCCCCTGTTGGTCACGTGCTTTACCTTAGAAAATTTACCATCCTTAGAAAATGCTATGGAGATGCTAAATAGCTGTAGATTCTGCCAAGAGTTCTCTTCTTAAACTTATTCAGAGCTGAAAAGAATTTTGAGGGTGTTCTTTGGTAAAATGAATAATCACAACCTCTTGTGTAAACCTAAGGTTATTTAGACAAGAACACATGTGTGACTAGCATGTTCATTTTATTTTATTTCCTGTATCTTTCTCCCTATTTCTCTTTTCCATCATGTCCTTCCCTCCATCACCTGGAGGCATGATGAGCCATAACCCAGGGTCCCACATGAGAAGACTGCTCAGCCCCACTAAGCACAGGGATCCCTCTGACCTGCTAGGATGCAGATGGACCCTTTCGTAGGCTGGGACCTATGTAAACAGAGGCAGGGCCAATATGCTGCTCTTCCTGGGTCCCCTTCCCAGACTTCCTCCTGACAGCACTGAAGTCAGGCATTTCCCAGAGCAGGTCTACAGCCAGCTGCCTGCACTCACTGCACAGAGAACCCTTCTCCCTCATCCCCACCTGGAGCAGGACATCTGGACTTCTCTCCTGGACCTGGGTGTTTAAAGCATTTGGGAAGGTGAGAGGGAGAAATGTC